AATACGGCTTTTTTTAAATAGCTAGACTGCCTATTGTAAATACAAAGTGTGTATGCACTTTAAAATTTTCCCTTTCAAGATATAACCTCTCAGCGTGTACTAGACCCGGGGTCTACTATATGGTTTAAAAATTGGTGGAATGTAACATACCCGGATCTTGTATACGGCACTTTACAGTAGATCATATTGACGACCCAAGACAGTGAGTTGGTCACTAATCAATCAAGACCTTTGTGTAACCTACGTTTGACCTAGTCGAAGAGGCGTTTAGATTTGGCGAGTGGGTAATTTTGGACGTAGGTTTGCCTTCTTAAAACTTATGTTGGAACTGGTTTATGGGGCACTAACACTTATATTATTGATTTACAATATTCCTAATGAGACCACAGCTTGAGTTCTTCCACTAAGACCTCAAACCAGACCTAACAAACCACGGCTTCCACAATTCGTTGGGAACCGGAAAATGACCACAACAATCCTTGGTACGTTGGGAGAGTTGGATAATATCAACCACGGAAGCCCTCAGTACTTCGAGAAACAACCGGACAGAGTTTTGGTACAACCTTTAGTTCGTCACGTGAACAAGGTACAAAGGTTTCACTACTTATGCTACTTAAGTAGTAAATTTAAGGTTAAGTATTTTGTTTAGCGAGATTAGAAGGTATAGGGTTATTAGGGAACGAATTTATTGGAATCACGAAGGATATCTTCCCTCAAGGGCAAGAAGCCCTTATTATATACTTTCTTTTTAATTAGAACACATTATACATGGTTTGAGCGATATATTGTTTATACTGATTATACGGGTTATACTGACTATACTGATTACATACATGATTCCCTTTATCACCATTAAACAACCGATACACTGTATACAGCGAATACAGTGTATACACCCGGGGTAACTCTATTTTTAGCGGAAGGTCGACATATTTGTGGAACCGTCAGTATTCACGTGCTTCCGATTCTGCGGTTCACAATATGAAAAATGATCTACGTACACCCTACCCTTAAATGTTTACTATTGCTATTTTAAGCTAAAAGTGGTTTCACTGTTATTTGTTTAATTTTTTTTTTAAAGTATACGTATAACTAATATAGGTGGATATACAGACTATTTCGAGTTTTTTTTCCTTCAGATAATTATGTGAAACGTATAAATTAGGGCTAATTGAAAAAGATGAAGATGTGTAAAAATAATGGTTATATATACATATACAAACAGACTATACAAGGCTATATATCCGGGTACTTAATTGAGGCCTTGACTATTTTGCATGGTTGATTTATATGTATCAAAAATTGTATAGAATCATAATGTATTAAAGATAATACTTTAATTAATCTATAAACGGCTAATGATGAAAGAAATAAAAAAGTTTCACTAGATTAATACTAACAAACTTTGATAGCTAAGCTTTAAAGTTCAATTCAAGTCATTTTTTATTTATTCTTTTTTCTTTACGGTTGTACTATTCGCATAATAGTGACGTACTTTTTCAATTTGATGCGTTCGAATACAAAGACATATGATTAATTCAAATTTATCACATAAGCTAAGTAGTCTACATGTTAACGCATGAAATATACATAATCTATAATGCGTTGACTAAAGTTATAAAGGTTATATTTATCAAAAATCTTACGTAGAATGAAGGCTACGTAGCTTACGCATGTGCCATCACTATATATTATTGAACATAATTCTTCGTCTGATTTTGAATATAAACGAGCGCCGCAGAATGAAACCCCGAAAGCGATAATTTAAGGTTTCGATTTCTAAAAGAGTTGTAATACAATCGATGATCTGGTCGTTTCAATAGCATGTGACACCTAATATTATAAGTAATTTCTACAACGATGGCCAAAACCATTTATATTATTCAAATATAAAGTAACGCTATCATTACACGTAATAATTTATAACACTTCTGTAACTAAATTCACTAAAGATTGAAAACTTAAATTTCCGCAATTAAATATGTGCCTCTCAATAGCGCTACGCTATGGATGCATATCGGTAAAGACCGCTAGGGCTTAAAAATATATAGCAGCTAGTGATCATCCTTACATGATTACAAAATAATAAAGTATCACGATACGTACGTTAAATAATCTACAATAAGTTATTTATATGAAGTCAAACAAAGCAAAGCTATATGTCCGGATAAACCTTAGATCTTTATCTTTAAAATTGTACATAAAGATTTGAAAATACATTAAAAACCTACTGGAAATGCTTTTATTGAAAGATAAATTTTGACTGTTTTTATAATTTTTGGGGGATATTTAGCATTTTAATGCATTTGCTTTATAACAGTAATGTTTTAAACTACGAAATCTCGTGACTTATATTATGCACGAACTCCCGATTTGAGTTAATTCTGTGGCGCTTTTAGACACATTATGCGAATAAATTTTTTTTCGAATGTATATAGCATATCAGATATATGTTTACGTATTTATGTACCTACTTACGAATTCCTTTTAACATTCCTGATGGAGTTTAATGTTTGGCATAATCTTTGAATGATTTAATTGTATGTTATAAGTTACAATCATTCACATCTATAATTAGGTTTACAGTTTAGTTTACATTATCACAAATATTATGAAAATCAATTTATAAAACACGAGTTTTTTTTATTCAGTACCAGCTGTTGATTCTTTAAATATAACGTAATGCTTTATATATTGATGCCTTTTATAGTAGAATATGAAATTGGACGCCGTATGATTTGAGTACACATATATCTAATGATCTTTTTTTCCTTTATATAAATCATAGTTGAAGTGTCTTATTTACGTTTTTATATGATAACGAATTAATATAAAATTATATCTTTACAAAATACATTGTCATATATTATATAGAAATCCGTTTTTATATATATATTAACAGTTCTCCTATTATCGGAGTGTCACAGTGAAAAAAAGTGCACAGGTGCTACAATCATACAAGTTATCATTTTCTCCATTAAAATTTTCAAATATTCCCATAATCGAAAATTTTTGGGGCGACAAAACGGTGTTTGTACAAATTATAGATAATTAGGACAGATGGATTAGACTAGACGCGTTATAAATTTGGGACTAAATACCAAATGCTCGGACATAGTGACCGAACTTTAGCTTGATCATAAATGCCATAATCATACATATTAAAAACAGTTATTTGTGTACCTTTTGCTTTTATACTATGTCCTAAATATAAACGCAAAAAAAAATACAAGCCCAAAAAAAATGTATAAAAACTCTAATTTTTCATCTTTCTCCAAAAAATTTTTCAAACCTTTATAGTTATGAACCAATCCGCAAATCAGAATATTGGCGCACATCCACAAAATTATAGTGGCCAACTACAAAGGCTTCAAAATACTGGTGGTCCACAAAATATTAATGGCCAACTTCTAAGGATCCTAAATACTAGCATGCTTCCTCTGAGACGTCAGAGCGTTGCAAGTCTATCCACTGGTACTTTTATTTCCGTTCAACGGTACACTGACCTAATTAACGGCACAGATCCGTTCACCACAATACAAAGTGAAGAAAATTCATTCCCACAGAGCACCCAATTTTCAACTTTGTTTTCAGGAGTTTCTTTTCCATAATTTGATTACGCATAAATATATTTCTTTAAGCTTGCGTTTGTTATGATGAAATAGCTTTTTTTTTTTGTTTTTCTTATGAATTTTTATATTAATTATAGTTAACTTTAAGAGTACATAGTTGAAATAGCTACGTTGCAAATGTTAGATGAATTTTTTATATGGTTTTATTCTATGCAAAATTTTGAATTAAAGGCATAAGTTATGGAAATATAATTTTTATTACTTGAAATTTTTTATTGCCTCTAATATAATGAGAGAATTAAACATCTATAAAATTCTAAAATAAGATAACAGATAATAGCAATAAGGCAGCCAAATGATGGCGAAATTTCAGCTTATTAAATTGAATATGTAAGATATTTGTAATAGAATCTCAGTTTGATAGAAATAGGAATAAGGGAAACGAATTAAAAAAACGTAATTAAGTCTCATTTTTAATTATCAACTGGTTAGCGGAAATCCATCAAATTCTTTATGCTTTTCTTAAATTTTGCTCTTTAGATATTACTTAGGCTTGCATTACTATCCAAATTTTCTGCGCAGCCTGACTTATGGTGGGCAGTACGATATCATGAATCTAGCATGGAAATAATGCACTGTATAATATGAATATGACTTAAGTTATATGCATAATTGTTTAATAATTGATCTAAAAGGAAATCATCAATTGGAAAAACTATTTGATTAGTCCAGAATTAAAATAAATAAAATAATCCATACCGCTCTATATAAAATTCACTCTAAATGCACAGTATAGTTGGTTCCATCTTGCAAATGCCCCGTATTTTAAATGCACACTCTCTTCACGTCTCATGATGCCAATATGTATTGTAACACAAACGCGAATAGCATTTTGCAATACGTTACACTCAAAGGGATGACTAAACAACTTTAAAGTTAGCGTTAAGTATGGACGTTCATCCGTAACTATATAATAATATATGAAATATAACTGCAATTACACAATTGGTCTGTAGAAACCATTACCTGCAGATTATCTAAAGTATTGACATTGGGGTTAAGGCTAGAATCAGCATAGCTTTGTTTTTATTCCATATTGCATTTGGTCTCACAGGGCTTTTAATGCGTCAGAATAACTTATAGTTATGTAAGTTTCGCTAAGTAAAGACCATTATTAATTGTTGAAGGCGCTGAATTCATTCTGCATCAACTTGACTCATGTGTTTTATCTTAAGTTCAATCAAAACTACAAATGCATGCATAGTCGTTGCAAGAGAATATACAACCCTTAGTGAGTATTGACTGAACAACAGTAATGTTTGTAAAACTTGGACCAAGTCTAACGGTATGAAAGAGTGAATGTTGAGAAGGGTAAAGTCGATCCGGATATCCAGAATATGGCTCTCACGGATATCAACTGCTACTAAACTAATCCAAATCAATACACTAAACCACCAAACTCTATCGATCCCTAATGGTGGAAGGCACGAAAGAAGGCGTGGAAAGACTTGGTCCGAGTTATTGGGGCCAAATAGAGCTCTATACTACGTCACGAAGCTCTAATTGAGGATCACGGGATTATGCAATTCACTTATCGGGGGTAATTAGAGTCAAACTTTTTAAGTCAGCAATATAGACTCTAATTGAGTAGAACTCTTCTGAGTTACTTTTTATTCAAGGCCAACAGCCAGCGCTTTTATAGCTTTTAGCGCTAATAATAAATACATTTGAGTTTCTATTAGAGCTATTTATTATTCACATAATTCTCACAATTTTCATAGTTCGCAAAATTCCCAAATCCCCATAATTCCCAAAATTCTCACAATTCACATAATTCCCAAAATTCACAATTCCCAAAATTCACATAATTCCCAAATCGGGTAATGGTAACTATTTCTATAGGGGCTGTGCCGACTCTTAAAATAAAAAGACAGATAGTGAAATAAAATAAAAGAAAAACGAGATATCAATATAAAAAAAAAATGAGAGGACCCGGGAGCCCTTCACAATGTGCGCGTCCGAATTGGTAAGGGATCCATTTGTTCTAGCTTACAAATGCTTTTCAACCTTTATATGTCAATGATAGATTTTTTGGATATAGAATAAATCTGAAATTTTGATTTACCTCATCTACTAGAGCTCAGAGATGGAATATGATTATAACCGTTATAACCAAAATTTCGCCATGTGATGTGGGAGATTTGTAAACATAACCAATGTCAATGTCCTTATTACTTGGGTGGTTGTTTATTTCTATTGAAAAAACGTCATTACACGATTTTTAATATTGTTTACATTAGAATTTAGATCTGAATTGCCGTAGATGAATATCTTACAATTGAAGTTAGGTATCTCTAGATCCTTATATTATTGGAAGGGTATTATAATTAATTGTTTCTATATCTATATTCACTAGAGTATTCAGGGTACTGAGCGCATAGGTTAGGGTTAGGATGAGGCCTAGGTTAGTGTTTACACAATTATATAGCAATATTGCTCAAGAAAAACTTCTTTTGATTGTCGGGATGTGTTTTTGTTTTGGCCAAACCCTCACCGACATGTTTATTTTATAGACGTTCTCATAAATTCTGGGACAAGTTACCGAGTCTGGATCAATAAGTAACCGACTTCGGCCGAACACAGAAACTTATCGATTCGGTCATCTGCAATTTTTTCAGTTGTCCCAGAATTTATGAGAACAGCTGTAATTCACCGAAAAGTTTGTTTTACCTACAGTCCATTTCACCAAAAGCTCATTTTATAGACTGTACTATTCACTGACAATTACAGCTGTTTTCATAAATTCTGGGACCCTAAAAAAATTTTGCCGAAGTCGATAAGTTATTGATTTCGGGAATAATAAGATTCAGTAGCAGATAATATCGATATCAGATGCGTAATTTAATAAGATTAGGTGAATTATATATATTACAATACAGCAATAAGACTAAAATCGATATTCTTTGGCATTATCCTTATTCATTTCTCGACGAAAACTCATTTTAAAAAATTTATGTAAAATTTCAATTCCCTTTCTTTGGAAAAATCCATTTTCGCTCAAACGAAGCCTTTATTCATTTTTAATGATTTTTCGACGAAAATTCGGTTTT